ACCCAAGGACATTTGCCTTCGAGAGCCTTTTTGTGACAGACCACCAGGAAGTGTTTTGCCACGTTTAGTCACAAGCTTGCTTCTTTCCACCGTCTTCTTGCTCCTCACGACTTCACAGATCATTCGGATCTGCAGACCAGGCTTTAAAATGAGAGGTGTGCTTGGGCACACAGACCCAATCCTGAAGTGATTTTTAAATCCTGAAGTGATTGCTGGCTGCTCGTTCAGACTTTCTCCCACCTCAGCCCCTGTAGACTGCGCGGGCTTGGCTGGGTCACTGGAAAGTCCCAAAAGGCCTCAGGATGACAAAAAGACCTGTCCTGAGATCCAGCTGCTGGGGGAGGGCAAATGTCCGGTCATAACTTCTCTGCCCGAGCTTGTTTGTTGTCAGTGTCACCAGGAAAGACTCATGACCAGAAGGTATGTGGGTTGTGACAGCTCGGAGATGCGGCAGCTCCCGTGGCGAGAGCAAGGGTTCCTCCACGTGGTTACCGCACGTAGTACACGCTGGTGTCAGGCACGCCGTGACGGGGATGTTTTCTCTGCAGGCCAATCTGGCTTTTGCTCCAGCTGCTCTGCTGCCGGGAGCATCTCCCAAAAGCCCTGGTCTGAAAGCCCTGGTTTCTCCGTTCAGCACCCCTCCCTCGACGCCCAGCAGCCCCGGGGTTCAGTCCCAGCCCAGTGAAGCGAGTGAGACGCCAGTCAGCTTCGATCAACCCCCAGAAGGCACTCAGCTGCAGTTCTATAACAAGGTACAGTATGCGCTAGGATTTCTCCATCACAGCAGGGTAAGGCTTGCTTATTGCTTGGGGATGAAGAGGAGGCTGTAGCCCTCAGTCCCAGGTTCAAAACAGCCTGTCAACATAGCTCTGTTGAGCCTCGTCTCTGCTCACCTGCCTACGGAGCTTTGTGCTCCAGCAGCTCCAGCAGCTTTTGCCAGGCCAGTGAGTAAAGTGAAGGGATGAAAGCAGCAGGACCCAGTCACTTCAGCTCAGCAGTAAGAGGGTGGCGGGTACCTGGGCAGGGAGTGCTGTGAGAAGGTGGTGCCATGTGCAGCACATGTCGAGGTGGCTGAGGTGCAGTTTAGGAAGCCATGCAGAGCACAGTGGTTGCCAGGTGTCCCCACAGAGTGGTCAGCACTTAAATGGGGACCTGTAACCTGCATTCACCATCATCAGCTAGAGTGCAGATTCCTTCCTCAACCACCAAACTGCCAAGATATCCAAAGTCAGCAGCATCTGTGCAATGAATGCAGCATCCTTGGGGTTTGGGTCTAACTTGGACAAGGAACCACGGTTTAAATTGGGACAATGATCTCTGGCACCATTTTTACAGAAGGAGAGGATGCGTATATTAGGGAGCTGCTTGTCTCTCATTTGCAGGGATCTGCCTTCTCCCTACCTCTCAGTAGCAGAGCATGAGAAGTGAGGCCACAAGGGTAGCAATCAAGGTTTTTCTGCTGTTTTTCGTCTGTTGTGCTTTCATGTTTTCCAGCAGCACTCTTTTGACTGCTTCAATGTCTGCTTTTCCTGCCTCCAAGGTGCGGACACGGGGATCGATAAAGCGCAGGCCCCCCTCCAGGAAGTTCCGAAGATCTCTGTCTGAGTACGGAGATGGGGAAGATTTAGGGGTCAACATCTCTCCAGAAAATGGTGCCAAGGAAGATGGGGATGAGGTGTTTGGGCCCAAGGGCAAGACAGAGGAGGCAGAAACAGGGAGCAAAGAGCAAAAGAAACACACAGGGTCTGATGGGAAGCCCCCATCAAGGAGAGGATCCAGCAGATCAGAAGATGGAGAAAAAGGAGAAAAACAGGCAGAGGAAATGACTCCTTGCAAGAGTAATGCAGGGGATACAAAGGAGGAGGAAGAGTGTCATGGTGCCACAGAGAAGGAGAACTCTCCCCAGCCTCCCTCTGGCAACAAGGAGGAGAAGGTGTGCGAGGGTCCGCAGGAAGAAAATCAGCAAGACAGTGCCTGTGAACAGGAAAAGGGGGACAAGGAGAAGGAAGAAGCTGAAGCAAAGGAGAGCAGTGAGAGCACAGACACACGGAGAACATCAGAAGAATCACCACTGGCACCTGCACCGCTGCA